TGCCAATTGTAGTCGAGAATAATAAACTTTTCTGGTTTAATCATTATTGGCGGAACAAACAATTTCATTTCTAAATTAATCTTCTTGTCATCATATATATTCAATATAATATAAATTAATAATAGATTCTAAAAACACCTCTTTCTATTTTGTATTAGTAAACAAACGTATAATTTAATCTGCATGCATCCTACATTTCCAACAAAAATAAACCTCGCAACAAAATGTAGCTATCTATTAATCCACAAATTAAAAAGAGAGGTCGGTATATTTTACCAATACTATACTGTAACCGTGATAGCGTGCGAGAAGAACTCACTTATCTCGAATAGTGCAAGGAAAAAGTTTACGTAATTTCTCATCTTACATCATAATTCAACACGGTTCTGCAGTGAAGAAAACAGAAGCTTTAAATTATTGCAAAATATTGTTTGCGATAACTGAAACAGTAAGTTAACGTGCTTCAATATATTTCGAGCTATCGAAACAATGGCATCAGAGCAATTTATTTCTGTTCGGTACAATGTTTTCTGATAATTAAGAATTAAGATATCGATAGATAATTACTATATATAATACAAAATAATATAAAATTACTATAATATAATACAGAATCTTATTAGTGCGATGTTATTCCGAATTCAACCGAGTCGACCTTTTATGTTTCACCGCGGAATTTTTCTTTTGAGAAACTTGTTCGGTGACGTGTATACGACGGCCGCATCGTTGAGCTTGCACGCCGTACGAGCGTTGCAAAAACTATTTTTTACGAGTTTTGCACTATAATGCAAAAACTTGAAAAATATAACATTTAATAATCCAACTCCACTCGTAGCGAGGGTCGACCAAAACGCGTAATTTTCATGCTGGTACTTCCAAGAGTTTCCTTGAAATTATATAAATGCGTAATAAAATGACAAAACAACGAAGCAAAATAAAATAGAAATGTAATAAAGGCGAATATACGGTTCGATTATCGCTCGCTTATAAACGCCAGCTAAGCAAGGCGCGTTTCAAACTTTTCGTTCTCGCTTGCATTTCTCGAGAAAAGTGTCTCGCTGGTGGAGCGGCGAATGTGCTAAGTTTATGGGACTTTCAACTACTGCTTGCGGTACAATTCCTATTCCTCTATCCTAGGAAGATACTACGTAGGCATAATCCTCACGCGGATGATCACTTCATCTAATTCGACGAGCGAGTTGTCGCGAGTCAGCGTCGTGACGAAACCGCGGGAAAGAGGTCACCGTACACCGTCAGGCTGAGCACTGTTCGACTATGGAGGAAAGATGCCGTTGACGGAAACGTCGATTAATTGTACAAAGCCACGAGCGAGGCGCGTATTCGCGAATTTGGCAGGGCGTGCATCTGCGGAGACCTGGCAGATGCAGATGCAGCCGCAACGCGCCGCACATTAGAGCTCGCAACGAGATGAAAGCGAGGCCAACACACATACGTCTGGCACATCGGTCGATGTTCAAGAGTTCAACCGCATCTCTGTGTTCAACCCTCTTCCCCCCCCCGGCCCCTTTCCCTTTCCTCTTTAGAGGGTAAAATTTATGGCGCGTAATATCATTACGCCGAATCGCTCGCCGATTCCGTGGCACCGTGGGATTCGCACGATCTATATGTATGTACATATAGCTCGTCCGAAGAAAAAGCGTAATATTCGCGCGTGCCGCGCCGAAGAGAATTCGCGTGCTAGAATAAAATTATCCGCTCGGCGCGGAGCGGCGTGTACTCGCACGGTATATGTACCCAGCCGCGCATAATATATCGGGTATCCCGCCGTGTAATGTATCGGATAACTGTCAGACGGATATAGCGAAAGTTTCGCCTCCCCCGCTTAAGACGCGCTTAAGCGATTTTGCGTTTCTCGGGGATAACGCAGATGTTAGTTTTGCATTCGCGAGCGGCGGAGCAGCCGCAAGAGCGCGCGATGCATTTCGCATTAATGTATTCCTTGTGCATTCCCGGCTGCCGCCACGTGGGTTTAACGCGGATTCGTAATAATTTATCTTCCGTTAGGACGTTTTAAAGTAAAGTTTAAGTTCTTTTTCGCGGGGGCAACCGGGAGGACCGATTGTTTCGTTTAGCGATAACGCGCCGCGCAAACAGACACAGACACCGGGAACAATTCAACCGCGCCCCGAGACAACAGAAATTGCAATTTCCAGATCAAAGCCGCGCCTGGTTGCCAATTAGACGACTCAATCAACTTCCGTGCGTTCTCAGCTTTCGGAAAATCACATTCGAAAGACGGGCGACGATTTCGAAATGTCACTCTACAGCTGAAGAAAGAAAGTACGAGTATCTTCAATGCCTTATGGATTGAATGATGTTTCTGTTCAATAAACATTTCTATAAACATTACTATAAAATCGATATGTAATTTTATATAAAAATACATTACATAAAAATATGTTTTTAATATTTATATATATGCGCTAATTTATTATATATTTTCAAGCATCTTATTGGTCGTTTCATTAAATAAGCGCATACCAGTTGAAAGATACTTATAATTCATTTGTGAAAGATAAGATTCTAAAGATTCTAAAGCAAGTTCTTCCACGGAATTCTGATTTTACTGAGCAGTACCTAGTGTAAATTGGATGCAGCGTTTAAGGAAAGCAGTGAATTAGGAGCGGAGAAGCTTGAACTCAATTATAACGGATGGCAGTTCTAACATCCTCGCGACATTCGAAATCGGAAAATCAATTTAAATGAATTTATATTTTGGTGAAAGCAGAATGGATGTCGAGAAATTTCTTTGCTATTTTTCTGGAAATCGATAAAATCGCTCACAAGTTCATTATTTTTTCCGTATCCAGACAATGAAAAATGCATACGTTCGAAACCGTTGAATGCGAAGAAAGAAGAAACAAAAGGTCAAGATGCTTGCTTTATGGCTCATTATTAAAGAGAGAAAAAAGAGGATCATTGCGATTTCATTAAAGTATAAATTTCGGCCTTTGTATTAAAGTAATTCTTAAATTCTGTAATCCAATACAAACTGCTAAAAGCCACGCTCACGAGAAAAGAGGAGACAGACGATTTTTTGCTAGTACGAGTCAAATCATTTTGCCAAATCTCTTTATATGAATAAAGAATTCATAAAAAGAGAAAAGAAGAGAAAAAGAAGACAGATATAAATAAGCTCGAAAGAGTAGACGTTTATAACAAATGCTGAATGCCAAATAGCCACACATTATCGTTGTTCTTTTATTATAAACATGGTTTTGCGGTGAGCAGTTCAAAACTCGGTTGAAATAATTACAATCGATGCCAAACTGCCCAAAATGTGATGGAAGAATGGACTTGAAATATCAACTAAACGTCAAACGTAATGTTCTTATGACAACAAAAATGTTTGAAATATCGTACTTCCAAACGTACAATTTGCTGCATGCTTTAGCGTCTTGAAATATGTAGTTCAGTGCCTTAAAAAGCACGTTTAAGATAATTAATAAGTAATACTTTTACTGGTACTAGCAATTTCAAATGTTTTCTCTCATCAGAATATCATTTTTCAACAATCTGCTAATACTCGATTTCCATCTTTCAATCTACTAGTATCCATCTCGATAGCGAAAAAATTATTGTTGCAGGTACGTCAATATCTTTCGGAATGCTTCGACACTTTTCCCCGAAGGGAAACCAATAAGGTGCCGAGATAAAATTACCTGTTCCTTTCCGTCGGCAAACGCGGACGGAGTCTCCAATTTGGAGAAATTATACACAGACTCTTACGTGGACGCAAACGACAGAACTCTCATTCCGCCTCTACGCCTCTCGAACCGACCGCGTTTACGCGAAGTGATAAAGCCCACGTCGTACGACCGCGGGCCGAAAGGCAATCAGCACTTACGTGTTCGTGTGATTCCGCGAGAATGGATGTCGGGGATACCGGGGAGAGAGCCTCACTCGTGACTGGTCATACCGGAGAACACACGTACACCCACGGCACACCTACACACACCTTTTTCCTTTCTTCTCCAACCCGATTGCGAACGGATTTACGATTGCAGCTTATAAATCACAGAGCGGTTCCAACCGGCCCGGCGCGCGACTTATATATCGGTTCTCCCGAAGATAGAGTCTTCAACGTTCCTTCCCCACTCGGATCATTCTCCGCCGCCGCCGGCGAACGACCCCCTAACTCACCCGTGCTCGCCTCTTCCGCTGCCGATGGCACCGCGAGGTTCTATCCGCACTCGCGACGAGACAAATCGTATATCTATTCCTCAGCACCCGATACTTTATTCATCTCGATACTTTTTTTGGCAACGCGGTTTGCAGCGCGTTAATGCCTCCGTCGACAGCTGGAGAAAAAGAGGAAAGTAGGAGACAGCGACGAGAAAATTGCCGCGTTCCCACGCCGCGTCGCGTCGCGTCGCGTCGCGACGCTGTGTCTCTGGCAGCGAAAACACCCCCTCACTTGCGCGAGGTGAACGATCGACGAACCGTGTGCGGTTCGCAACCCGGCACGAGTCGAACTCGCTGCCTCCTCGGGACAGTATTCCGGTGGGGTTGACGCCGCCGATGCCGCCGACGCCGCCGACGCCGACGCCGACGCCGCCGCTGCTTGCCGGGGGTTGCGAGGGTGGCTCCAGCTTCGCGACTGCGCCCTCTCAGCTCTCTTCAACCCATTACGTACCTCGCACACGCGTGACCGTGAGACAACACGCTCTTTACGCGTACACCAGCCGCGTACGTATCGCGTACGTGTGAGGGGAAGCTCTGGTGTCTCTTTTTCTATCTCTCTCTCTCTCTCTTCTCTTTCCTTCTCCCCTCTCTCTCTCTCTCTCTCTCTCCGCGCACACCCCCGAAGTCCCTGCCCCGTCTACAGCCCCGGACCGAGTCTCTCTGCTACCGCAACACGTAGCCTCGTAGTGGCTTTCTCTACCATCGCCTCCTCCTCGCCCTGCCTCGATTGTGCTATAACTCGCGATACATCGCCGTATCACTTCATGTCTGGCATAACGTTTTATTAACCAGAAATCAAGTGCGCTCCCTTCGATCCCCGGTTTCCTCCAGCCGGAGAAAGCTCTCTCTTCACGTTCTTCCCACGTTATTCCCCGTCTCCCGTTCTGGTTTCTGTTTATTCACGCTCTCACCTGTCCGACGGATGTGCTATTTCTTTGGCACTCCAGCGGCCGCTAATGTCGATCCGCGGTCGTCCCACGTGACGAATGTTATTGTCGCTTAGAATGTTTCTATTAACTGTCATGCCCGCTGCTTTCAGCCCTGATGTCCCCGATATACGTGTAGACGTACGCCTGTCCCCTGCGTGTCGTTCTTTCATCCTGTTCTTATCTTGTTCGTTCAATTTTCCACGTTTTCTACAATGACATTTCTTTGGCTTTACATCGATGCATACGTCAACTCTCGCGTCTTCATAAAAATAGCAACGTTGCGCACAATTTTCTTTAAACGGGATATGAAATTGTTTTTTCCCCCTGACCTTACTCTCGCACGCAGCTGCACATTTATAATGCATTGTATTTTATTATTTTTACTATTTACAAAGATTTTTAGGAAAATTTAAGAATAGATAATCTTTAGTTGAAAGAGAATGCATGGTACACAATAACGTAAGAAAAATTTATCATAAAACTTTGATTTT